AAAAAAAAATAAAATAAAATAAAGTAAGTTCTAGAAAAGACAGAACTAGTTCCTGGTAGAAACAAAATCAAAAGACCCTGTGGAGGGTGAGGTGAGCACTGTTTGGGAAGGAGCATGAGGAACTTTCTGGGCTGAGCATGGCTCTCTATCTTTGTTAAGGTGGATGTACTCACTGGTCAAAATTCAAAGGGTTGCCTGAAATTTGGGTACCATGTTGCATACAAATTTTACGTCAAATTGAAAACAAAAATTCCAACAAATAGAAAAAGAACAGAGCTTCCCTTCTCAGCAGCTCACTATCAGCTAACATTCACTCAACCTGGGCACACAGGAAGACATGCCCTTCTCAGCAGCTCACTACCAGCTAACATTCACTCAACCTGGGCACACGGGAAGCAGTTCATGAGGGCAGAGTGGTCATAGCACGAACAAATCCGTCTCCCTCCTGGTTCCATCCTGGCTCGGCAGCCCTTGTGGGTCTTTAGTAGGTAGTCAAAGCCCAAGGCCAAGGATACTCCGAAGATTCCCCCACCCTGCCCCCCAAACACACAGCAGCCAAAAGGCCAATGTGGACGGCGGAGGCATGGCCCCATGGCCTCCTGACCCATGGAACAGCACCCCATTAGGAGCCCCACTTGCCCATGATTCCAGGCAGTCTACATGGCCTCAAGGGCTCGTGGGGAGGCTAGAATGGGGCCAACTTCCAGGCCTCTTTTCCTAGCACCCCATAAAAAGCAGAATATGCTCTGGCCCAGCCTTTCGAAGGCCATGAGAGAAGGTTTTAAAATAAAAGTGATCACTGCGGTGCCTGGGTGGCTCAGTCGGCTGGGCATCTGACTCTTGATTTCTCGTTATCAGCTCAGGTCATGATCTCAGGGTCATGAGATTGAGCCCCACGTCATGAGATGGAGCCCCACATCAGGCTCCACGCTCAGCATGGAGTCTGCTTGAGATTCTCTCTCCCTCTGCCCCTCCGTTTATGCACGCTCTCCCCCGCCCCCACCAAAATAAATAAATAAATACAATCTTTTAAAACAATAAAGTAAAGTAAAAGTGATCTTTGCTTAAGCAGAGAGCCCAGAAGAACAATTCCAACCACCTATCCAATGGGAACTGGCCCAACTTAGCCTGGACACCCACTGTGTCCAGAGCCTGGGCTCCAGGAGGCCTAGGCATTCAGAACTACTCTGGTCAGTGGTGCCT